GGAGGGTGTGTGTGTGTGTTCAGCCCACCGCACCAGCAGCAACAGGCTCAGGGGCAGGTCTTTGCTCAGACGTTCGGAAGTGCAGACCTCCACCCTGTGGATGCGTGGCACGCAGACCCTCACAGGGCCGGCCCCGGGGACCCAGGGCGTGCGGTGGCCTGGGAGGGGTGTGCTAGCATCACGGAGCAGCTGGAAATGCTGTGGGAATGACAGACATGGGACACGGGATAGGAAGTGAGCTCACACGGTGGGGACGTGGAGCCCGCAGACATACTCCTCGCAGGGTGCCCACCCCAGCCCCGCCACACACCTTCAATTGGTAACGCCCCCAACCAAACTCACTGCCATCGAGTGGATGCCGGCTCACAGCGCGCTGTGGGCAGTGTGGCACTGCCCCTGTGGGTTTCCCAGTTAGCGCTGGGAGCTAGTGCTGGTGGGGCGGACCACGGCAGACATCCCCTCCCCTCCGGGGAACAAGGCCGCTCGACCTTGTTCAGATTGTCATCATCGTTGTCGCCATCAGCAGACCCTGAGCTTACAGGGTGGGGCCTGTGGCAGAGGGTGGAGTGGGGGCCCATCAGAGACCACTGCTCCATGCCCTCCCAGCCCAGCCCGCCTGGGAGCCCGCCTGGATGCCCATGCAGGGGCAGAGGGAGCAGGTCAGGGATCCGAGTACTACTTCTCGCCGGCAAGGGGTGGCAGGAGCTCTGTCAGAACGGGGCTCACCCTCCCCTGGCCACACCCTCGGTGACCCCTGGAGGGGGACACTCTGCCCCCCCACAGGAGAACAGAAAGCAGAGTGATGTCCGAAGAAGGGCGGGCACAGCATGTTCTGGAAGGGTACTGGCTGGGCACCCGGCAGAGCCTGGGGACCTACTGGTGTCCTCTCCTGTCCACCTCCCCGTGGCTGCCCCTGGGCGAGGGATTCCCTGCACGCATGGGGCCAGGCCTCCCTGGGGGCTCCTCACTGACCAGGGCTCCCTGCACGCATGGGGCCAGGCCTCCCTGGGGGCTCCTCACTGACCAGGGCTCCAGGAGGCCCAGGCCCACAGCACAGGGACCCCCCCAAAACAGCAGGTGTGCTGCACCAGGAAAGACACATGAACACTTGCTCCCCATGACTGCCCTTCTCACACAGAAACCCCACCTCCAAGCTGCCCAAGTCTGAGCCGCTGGGCACCTGTGGCCTGGCTGAGGCTGTGCAGGGCGGGGGAGTGGGAAGTGGGGGGTGGGGGAGACAGGTGCTGTGTTCCTCCTGCTCCGTACTGACCCCAGCCCAGTCCTGTCCCTGCAAGGGTGTGTAGGGTATCTGGGGCAGTCCGTGGCTGGTGGCCTGTCACTCGGGGGCCCGCACACCTCCTCTCACCGCTCTGCAGGCTGCACTCGGAGCAGGTGGGTGTGACACCCCTGCAGGCGCCTCCCACTGGAAATGGCCTCCTGCCACCTTCAAGGCCAGTGTGGGGAGAGGACACAGCTGGCAGTGACAGACCAGGTTCCCGCGGCCAGCCAGTGGAGAGCCACAGCTTCACTGGCCAAGGTAAGGGGGTGGGTCTGCAGTCTCTGGCTGGGACAATGGCCCCACACCTGGGCCCTGGGTGTCCTAGGACAGCATTGGACTCAGGCCACACAGACCCGCAAGCAGGGGTGGGAGGCATGCCCATTGCAGCTCGGATACTGCCAGGCCATCCAGGCACAAGTCCACAGCAGTAACACCCTCCCTGCTGGGCCCTTCCATGTGGGGCCTCTTCCAAGGAGGGGGCAGGAAGAGCCGAATGTCTGCTCTGTTCCCACACAGAGCCGCGTTCCCAGGAAGAGTGGCCGGAGCTGCCAACCACGGGGACCCCAGGGCAGAGGGCGGCTGCTGCCCTGCCCTTCCCAGGCCAGAGCTCGAATGCCTCTGCCGCCTGCTCCTGGGCACCCCAGATTCGCCCTGGGGTGTCGTCCTGGCACTGGCGTCCTGCCTCGGTCGGGGGAGAGGCCTTTCTCAGGAGTTGAGGCGCAGAGCTGATTTCCTGGAAAGGAGTCCTCAGGGGACGCCTGCATAGCCCATGGTTTGGCCTGTAAACC